TGATGAAGCAGCTCTACAAATACTCACAAAAAAAAAAAAAACTCTGGGGAGAACAGGCACGAGGGAGACAAAGCACAGGACTGAAACACAATGATCCAACACAATACTGAGACAGGACAGGGCTTAAATACACTGATAACTAATGAATGAACAGAAAATACCTGGGGAGAAACACGAGGGTGATAATCAAGGTAAGTTGGGGCAGCTGAGCAGAGACACACTAGGGAACATAGAAAACACTAGGAAAACCAAGGTAAATGAATACAGATTATGACACTTACTTACTTAAAGAGGTATTATGCTGCAATTGGGAATAAATCCCATAGTACACCTTTATCTGAGAGTTTTTATTACACTCTAAATTCTTACAGGGGAATATATGTTCATAGCCAAAACATTTAGTGTATTAAGTTTCTTGTATCGAATCGTTGACAAATCTGAACAGAAGTCTGATGTTACAGATTGGGGATTATTAACAAGGGACAGAGCTGGACTGGGACCAAAAAGCGGCCTGGGCATTTTCTGGTCCTGGCGGCCCACCGTCATTATTTATATAATATACAAATGGACACGACATACCAGAGGATGTATTTACATGTTGTGTTGTTTCACAAGTTAAAGTGCAGCAGCCTGCAAGGAAGAGAGTAACCATGTTTAAAAAAACTGATGAGCTCTTCCACTCAGAGACTTTCAGTAATGCTCATGAGGTTCTGATGCTCAGTCAGTGGATCACCCGAGACTGAGTCTGAACCTAATTACGTCATCATGGTATCAGAGCCTGAATGCAGTTTTATCTTAAACTGTCAATAAGAAGCTCTTTCTTTACCTAGTGAGATTGAAAATATTACAATGTGACTGAAACAGTATTTATTTATTTGTCATCATAATTCTATCTGCTGCTGTAAGACTTTAACAGATTGTCAAATAAAACAAAACTAAAACTTCCAGCTTCCTAAAAGCCAAACAAGATTCACATCTAAAGGTTGGTGTTTTCATTTTCAAACGTAATATACTACAATATTTCATTTGACATTTAGTATAATAAACATAACCCATGGATTCTAATTTCAGGTAAAATTATTTCATTTGACCCAAACCTATTTATTTATTTCTTACGGAGCCCGCGAGGGGACATGGGAGGGAAAAAAAATTAAAAACGGATCCTGACTTTGGTTCTCAGGATCCCGAGAAAAAAAGTCAGGATCCCAAGAAAGAAAGTCGGGATCCTGAGAAAAAAAAGTTGGGATCCTGAGAAAGTTTCTCAGGATCCTGATTTACACAAATGGATGTTATTAGCTGTTATCAGTCCCATGCAGACTGTCCGTCCTCTACCTAGTAGCTTGGAAGGTACCCTATCATTTGTAGTCTATGGCTGATAATATGCATTAAGGCGCTGTGGGTTTATCTCCTCCCCCGGGACTCGGAGCTCCAGCGGTCGGCCTGGCTCGCTGTCCTTTGGCGGAGGAAAGCACTCGATCTGCGACATGCTGATTCAGGCTGTAGCCGGGGGTYGCCCCAGACATTGCTAACAGTTGCTAACAGAGTTTTCTGGGTCTGCTCAGACRTGTTTCAKACTTTAATCTGCTGATCTCTGTGGTGTGTTAAACAGTTAGTCTACTGAAACTCATGTTTTTAGTTTGATTTATTTGACGACGAGAGAGGGTAATAGATTTAATCGTAAAACCAACTATTAAACCATCAGTGCGATTTGGCTCATATTTCTGTCTGTGGAAGCTAGTTATAGAATTCCCCTGAAAGTATCATCAAAATCTGAGGTGGATTTGTTTTATTTTATTTTCATATTTTACAGGCAAAGGAGCCCTGCAATGGAGGTTGGCATCAGAGGTCGCGTTAACGGATTATTTTCCATATTTGGCCAGTCTTTTTACACGGTGATAGAAAAATCTAAAGGCTGTCCGTCATTTTGACAGATTGACACCCCCGATCTAAATAAGCCAGATGAGGTGGAGAAAAAAATCAAGAGGCTTCACAAGACAGCAAGCTCTGTGGCATCACAGAGATATTTTCAGCTTTACGCACAGAGTAGGTCTAGCCTACATCACGGAGGTATCTTATTTAATCTAAAATAAATAAACGATTCCCATCTGATCATCATCTCAGATCTAGACACAATACTGAATGCATTTCCAGGAGCTGAYAGCGCAGTGAAGAAGAACAGGAGCAGCGCATCTGTGAAGCACAGCTGAAGCAGTGGTGCAGCGGGAATGCACGGGATTTCCTCCTGCTAAGCAGGTTGTGGGATTTGGAAATAAAGTCTTGCTGACATCTGATCACTTTGACCGGAGAAGTGTTTTTTTTTTATTATAAAACTTTGGCTGAAGTGGTGCCAACAGAATCGCAGCAGAGCGCGGGTTTAGTCTTCAGATCCACTGGCACCTGCAGATATAGACTCACTGTGCGTAACTGGAGATTTTATTTTATTGAATGAATCAAATCCTCATTTTCTGTTTTTATTTTATATTTTAACACGGTGGCAGCGGCRCATTGTGATTAACAGCTGACTGCATCTCTGCCTTAATCGTGCCTTTCCCTCTTCTCTCCTCCTGCAAAGGAGGCAGAGACAGAAATAAGGAGGCATTATCTATTGCCGCAAACTGCATCCACTATGACGTTTGTAGTTTTTTATTTTCTTTTTTTGACTTTTCGTAAGGTAACTGAGTCAAAACTGGGGCAGTACGTGCGCGTCAGTGTGTGTTTTTCACCATGCGCTCCTGTGTCCTGTAGTGTGAGGTGCGCTGATGAGTTTTTCTCCAATAAAATCCTGTAGGGGCCGCATCTGAGGCAAAACTGCAAAACCAACCTGACAATAGCTACATTCAATTGATTGTTTAGTCATTATCATTTAWAAAAGGAAGTGATGGGTAAAAATAGATTTTTTTAACCCTGTCAGTCAAATCGACGGACAGCAAAAAAGTCAAGTGCAACCTCTGAGTTAGCCTCCTCCGTCCTCCCGTCCCCTCTTCTGTTGCCCAGGAAAGAGAATAAACATCCGAGAACCGCTGGACAAGATCTCAAAGCAGCCAAAATGTCACCGACTGGAGTGCTTTGTTTGCGGCACGACAACTCGATCAGAGCCATGTGCCGCTCGTGCTCTGTATCATTTCAAACTTTAATAAACTGTTCTCTGTGTTGTAATAAACATTTTTAAAGAATAATAAACATTTCCCTGAATGTTTCACGTAAATACATTGGGTACTTTTTGAGATATAAACCTGAGAAGGCAGCTGGCTAGCTTTAGCAAAACTACCCCGTTGTCGGGGAAACTGTAAACATCCGGTTATGCTGGGTGGTTGTGGGTAATGATGTTCAAAGTTGGAGCTGACTTTCGTTCTCAGGATCCCGACTTTGGTTCTCAGGATCCTGAGAAGCAAAGTCAGGATCCGTTTTTATTTATTTTTCCTCCCATATCTCCTCATGAGCTCCGTAATTTCTTATATTTCAACATAAGAAATTTAAAAGTCTGCTGTAAAACATGAACACACTCACAGACCAACTTTTATCGCATTTTATCGTAAGAAGCTGCAGTTAAGTTTTAGTAAAAAACAAATGTGTTCACTTTAGTAAACATCAGAACAATAAATGAACCCGAAGAACTGGACTATCAGTCTAACATTTAAACAGCTGCTGATTCCATCAGACTGTTAATAAAAAATATTCCTGTTTAAACTTTAATGGCTGATCATTACCTCCGCCAAGGGGAGGAGGTAACGCTTTCGGTCCTGTCTGTCTGTCTGTCTGTCTGTCGGTCGGTCGGTCGGTCGGTCGGTCGGTCGGTCGGTCGACAAAATTACTCAAAAACCTGTGGACGGATTGTCATGATATTTTTACCACATGTCGGTATTGGCCCAAGGAATAAACCATTACATTTTGGTGATGTTCCAGATCACACTGCAGACACAGGGATTTTTTTCTATTAATTTGAGCGAATCAGCAGGGCTACGCAGTGTCATTACATCACACGCATGCATGTATGAAACAGGAAGTACAAGTCGCAAACTCGCTGGGACTACACATCCCAGTATGTCTACTATCACGAAAGTTGTGATTATTCTGTTATCAACTACTCCTGCCAATGTTACATGCTGTCTGGAGACGTACAAAAAGAAATGTGATTCTCTTCWTATTAAGGGAATAACAGGACACTGACAGCGAGAGTASGGTCCTGCTGCAGCCGAGCCGAAGCTGGACTGTCCGCGGGAACAGCTGATCAACCTACCYCCTCCACATAAGAACTTTATTGTGTGATTGCTCAGAAGTTAGTGGGAGTGTTTGTGCTGAAAACGCTCACACTCTGTATTTTGCTTCAATCACTTGCTTCAAAAAGTAAAAAAAAAACAAAAACAAATAAACACTTGCTTCATGAGCCGACTGTACCAGGAAGCACTTTATAAATAAAGTCAAACCATTGCAAACTCAGAAAAGGGGATAAAACAGACATTTTATATGGTTGAATGTGACTGATGAAAACTTAGGAGCTTAATCCGACACCATTGCTTCTAGTTTCAAACATAACTTGGACACCAAGATTGCCCAAGAACTTCAGAATCACACATCCTAACACATGTAGGTAGCATGTGTGGTTACTTACTCCAACAAAGCTCACTACGTGTGATGTCACTACTTCATCTGAGCATAAATGGTCCCTCTGAACTGTTAATGGTTTATACTGAAGTCCGAAA